ATACTATAAATAATTATATATGCTATAATTTTATACTACTGACAGCACAGTAGGTTTGTTTCACCAGCATTACCACAAATATGTGAGTAACATGTTACACTAACAGGTCACTAGGCAATGGGAATTTTTCAGTTCCATTATAATCTTATGAGACCTCCTCCATCGTATATGGGGTCCATCATTGACTGAATCATTATGTGGCTCATTACTGTACCCTGACCTGAGTAATTTATAAACAACAGAAATTTATTGCCCCTGATTCTAGAGGCTGAGGAGTCCAAGATCAAGGTACCAGCAAGTTTCATGTCTGGTGAGGGCCTCCTGTTCCTCATGGGTGTCACCTTCTATGTGTCCTCATGAGGCAGAAGGGCCAAGGGAGCTCACTCAAGCCTCTTTAATGAAGGCACTGATCCCATTCGTGAGAGTGGAGCCCTCATGACTTACCACTTGCCCAAAGCCCCACCTCTTACTATGAATACTATCACAGTGGGTACTAGATTCCAACAAATGAATTTTGGGGAGACACCAACATTCAGACCATAGCAGTAATAAAAAATGCATAGTTTTAATGAATCCTGTATCTGTTTACTTTGTTAAATTAACGGATGAAATGAGAATGGTTTTTATAGAAAAACTAACATTACTCTTTTGCAACTTTCAGGGCCTGTAATTCAGTGTTTACAGCATTAGACCACTGTCATGAAGCCATAGAAATAACAAGTGATGACCACGTGATTCAGGTATGAAAGGAAAAACACTTTATATCATTAGACATTGAAATAGAACCTGTCAAATTTGAGCCACATTTTTTTCAAGCACTTTTCCATAATTCTCACGTATCAGCACATTTTCTTAAGGAGAAGGGGAAATCAAACTGCAAAGAATACTGATAGACTTCAATAATGAATAAAAAATTATTACTTCAGATGATAACCTGTGATTTCTTTGACAGAGATGGGGTAAATTATTTGGACCATCTGTGTAGACACTATTTACACAGAAGTAAATCAGAATTTTCGAGTAAAGGCTTATGGGAACAGAATGTTTTCCAAGATAACTCATTTAGTTGCCCGCAGTTGGTATTCTAATTATAAAGCACTCTTATACTAATGTCATCTTCTTAAGGAAATGTGTATAGTAGACAAACCTTTGTTGAAATGGGTGTTCTTATTATAATTGTTGGAAAGTAAGATGTCTGTATTTTAAAAATACTCTGAAATGTAGACTTTCTGCTAGCTGGTACTGGCCTGCCTGCGGTTGGTTTGCGGAGTGACGTGGAGTGTGAGGAGCACTGCTGTCATCAGTATCGCACCAAAGACAGGGCAGCCACAGTGAACCCCATGACAGAAGCCTCACATTTGTCTCCTCTGAACCGCCCCCCCGGTGCACACACAGACACACCCTGCTCTCATACCAGATCAATGACATCAGTTGCCCACCACTCCTGGGCCATGTCGTCAGCCCTTTTGTTAGGTTTTCTCATTTTCATTCCGTAAGGCTGTGAAAGAGACATAACGGCCCTATAGTACAGATGAGGGAACTGAGGCCCAGCAAGGTCAGGGAACTTACTCAAATGAAGCCCTAATAAAAAGTATTGGAACCAAAATACGCAGCCATGTCTTCAAAGCCTTCCTACCTGGTTTGCTGTTTGGCTGTGTTTTTAGAATGTGTTTTTCTGGCTGCCCCTTGAAATGGATCTGAAGCCTTCCTCATGTGGCTGGCTGTCACCAACCCACCTGCCCAAAGTCTGCCTCCCGGACCACAGAGAGAGCCAGACATGCTTCTGTTATAGACCAAGCGCAGAGCCCACATCTCCCCACTTACACCCAGACTCGAGCAGTCACTTCTGTTCCTGAAGCATATGTGCCTTGCACCTCCTGCTTTACGGCGGACAGCTGGATTGTGGTTCAGTACTGAGGAGAAGGGGCTCCCCGCCCTCCACCTGCCTTCTCCACCTGTAATCTAACAGAAGCCTCCGCGAATGGGGAGCTGAGTTCCTCATTCTACAGTTAGCATTTGCTGGTTAGAAAAGCTGTATCCCTGAGAGAGGTAACATAGTGACAGTATCGCATTATGGTATGAAACAGGGCGTGAGGCCGGTAGGTGGCTGTAAAGGGGAGATGAGGGGTGGGTGGTCACTGCATTGAAAGGGGGGAAACTTGGATTCTGAAATAAAACTTTACGGATTTTTTTTCCTAGGGAACCTCTTCATGCTCCTTTTAAAAAGATACCAGCAAACTGTAACATAAAATTAAAAACAAGAGGGAGGAGAAAAGTCAAATAGAGGATGTTATATGTAAAGGGGATAGTAAATTACCTTTGTGCTGTAGATGATGAGGATGGGTCATCATGCATGGGATGTTTCCATACATGTTCTTACGTGTGCCAGCGTCCTTCCTGGGGCACTGCAGCTGAATAGTGAGTGCCTCTTGATGAGTGCAGATCTTCAGAGGTCAGGTAGCAGCACTTAAAATTTAGAAACAGTCTCTCTCTCTTTCTCTCTCTCTCTCTCCCCGCCTTCTCTCCCCCCGCCATCCCTCTCTCCTTCCCTCCCTCTATGCCTCCATCTATCTAGACTATCTATCTATGTAGACAGTTTGCTGTAAAACACTTATATGGTACTTACATGTGCCAGGCCCAGTTCTAAGCATTTTACACATACTCATTTATTTCTTGAAACAATCCTGCAAGTCACAGATTACTATCGTACTCATTTTGCAGACAAGGAAACTGAGGACCAGGGAAGTTAAGAAATTTGTCCATGGTTATATAGCTAGTACCTGGCAGAGCTAAGATTTGACTTGACCACCTGGGCTCCAGAGTCCATGTCCTGGAGTACCTGCTGTAGTCTGAGGTTATGGGAACCCCGGCGTGAAAGAAGGGCCATAACTCCTACCCATATTTACAACCTACTGGGCAAGGCAGAATGAACACTTAGGAAAAGGGATGAGAATTTAGACAACAAATAAGGAAAGCAATACATTCTCTAATATTTTCTATTCATCCATCAGATATTTATTAAACAGCACAGAGTGTCCAAAGGTAAACCCCAAATAGGCTTTGCCCTTGAGGATTTTCATGTCTGATGGGAGAGAGAGAGAAACAAAAATTTAAATTCGATGTAACAAGTCCCTAGAAGTCTGCACAGGTGTCAGTGGCAGCTCTTAGGAGTGGCACCAACTCAGACTGGGCGGGGGGTGGAGGGAGGAGGTCAAGGAAGGCTTCCTGGAAGCAGAGAGGGATAAACTGGAGTTGGCAAGGCAGAGGGGTGGGGAAGGACATTCTACGCAGAGAGAGCACGTGAGAAAGGCCCGGAGATGAGGGAGACGTGCAGACGCCTCAGCAGACTGCGGGGCTGGGCCAGGGAGTGTGGGGCTGGCCTGGTGAGCGGGGGCCATTCTGTAAGTGATGCCCACCCTGCCTGGGGAGGGCACTGACTGCCACATGTCAGTGATGGGGCCGGGAGGGTGTCTGGAGATCCGTAAAGACAATGTCATGACCCCCTGCTTTTCAGCCATCTCCAAAAGGCCAATAGCTGGAGCATCCTCCCAACCCCTTCAACTCGTGGGGTTAATCGTGTTAATAGAGGCTATGTCCCCAAGGGAACAGCTCCCCGAGTGTCCCTGCATCACCCAGTTCATGACTGTTGTCATCACAGTCCAGAGCAAGAGCGATTGCAGTTGGTAAGGACGTCTCTGAAGCAGCAGATGAATGTAAATTATGCCCAAAGAAATCCGTGACCCAGATGCAGTGTGCTCACATTTTCCCCACGTTCTTCCTCACTTGTCGCCCTGCACTCAGCTCCCCATCTGGTGACTGTGTTCTTTGAAAAGAAATTGGAGGGCGGGACAGGAGTGGGGAGTCAGCTAAGGTAATAGCTCTAAACTCCAGGCCCCCGGGCGGAGGACTGGAAGGAAACCTGTGAGTCTGCTGGCCCCCGCACGTGCGGTGGAGCCTCTCTGCATGCCTGTCCTGCACCCAGCAATGAAAGGGCTGCCTCCTGCCCAAGCCATTCAACTGGATTTATTGTTCTGCTTCCACCAGGAGTGGCCCCAACCATAGCATTGATTAATAGATAGTGGCAATTGGAAAGAGACCTGAGAGATGCAATTGCTGCCTTGTAGAGAGAGAGGTGACTAATGTAAGCCACAACCTATTGAATTGAATGATAATTTTTGAATTGAATGATAGTTTTATTTCTGTTTTTTTCCCCAAGTTTTTCCTTATTCCAGGGGCAGTAGTGGTGGATGGGCTCCCCGAGGCTGGTACTGCTAGATGAGGGCTGCTGAACGGTTTCTTTTGGTTGCTGCTCAGGAGGAAGGCAGCTACTCCAGGAGGGGTTTGGGGGCCCGAGGGGACCAGCCAGCAACTGCATTAGAGAGCCCCTGCCCTGGGAACTTCATGTTTGAGGTCCTTCTGTGTCCCTGCAAGTGTTTCTACAGGGCACACAGACGTTTCATGAATCCCGCCTCGTGTCCCCACACTGATCTGTACCCACCTCCCATTAACAGTATGTCAACCCAGCCTTCGAAAGGATGATGGGCTACCACAAAGGTGAGCTCCTGGGGAAAGAACTCGCCGATCTGCCCAAAAGCGATAAGAACCGGGCAGACCTTCTCGACACCATCAATACATGCATCAAGAAGGGAAAGGTGGGTTGAGCCGGCAACACCAATTGCAGCCCCCTCCCCAGTGCATTTTTTTCTGTGAGTTTTTGTGTCTCATCCTTAAGATTGGCTTCTTTAACAATGTTGTAATTAAGCGAAAAATCTTCTGTTGCTAAGTGAGTTAATTTTTGAGTTAATTTTGGATCTCAAGTCAATCTGGTGCTTATCATGATGGTACCAAATCTGATGATTTTTGTGTAGGGACATTTCATCCTTTGCATGAATGTATCCTACCTGTCATTGCTGTGGTATCGAGCCTGTCTTTAAGCAGAGTTTTGCCCAGAGGGCTGTTGTGTTTTTTTCAATTTATCCAGTGTTTGGGGGACTAAACGTATTTAATAATGGTATTTACAGGTAGCCCCAGTTTTTGAGTTTTTTTGCCAGTTGTCCTTCTCTGTTAAGAAGGCAGTGCAGTAGGAATTTTCTCTCAAGCCCTCTCCTCTAGAGGAGCAGCATTTTCTTTTAAGCGTTCAGAATGCTTCCTCACATAGCATTTCTTTCATCTGCCTTTCGCTGATGTGAACTAGTTGGATCATTTAATTGAGGGTCCATTTTATAGGAATGAAATAAATTTGGATTATAGATGATGGCCCAAATTTTTTAAAAATTGGGGCAGTGTAATTTAAAAGGAAACAAGACATTGTAAACTACTTCAAAAAAATTTGCCAGAAGAATATGGTCACACTTCTGGTGACCCCATTGTGTGTAGCGTTAGCCACGTGTTGTGAGAGAGGGGACAAGAAAGGGCTGCAGAGAATCTCAGTTTCTGATTGAAACAATCCTTCCCAGAAAGGGCGGAGGTGCCCCAGGATTTCCCCCTGAGGTCACTTGCCTCTATCCCACTGGGTCCCCGAGGTCCAGAGACAGCAGGCTCTTCACACTCCCCTTGGCCTCATCTGTGGACACTGCCAGGGGCCAGGCTAACCTCAGGGAGGCCTTGGATGGGAGGCCCATAGGATGCTAGAAAGATGGCGGGGTTCCGGGAGCATTAAAAAGAAACAAATTTATAACGAGATCCTCCACTTCCTAACATGGACAAATTAGACTCTCTGAGCTCCAGTTTGCCCATCTGTAAATTAAGAATGATAATACCAAGCTCATAGGTTGTTGTAAAGATTTTGAGAGAGACCTCAGAAGAATCCCATGACCTGGTGTCGTGGCACCCATAGAACTGAGAGCAGAATTCCACCCACTGCTCAAGTGTCCTGGAACCCAGGACAGACAGCCTGGCGATGGTCACATGAATCTGTGGTCTTGTCTTCATGCACTGTGGCCATGTCAACATCGCGGTGGGTATATGATAGAGCAGGGCTTTGTGACATGTAACGAAAGCCTGTGGGAACTTCCTTACTCAGCCTGCTGAGACCTGTGTAGGAGCCGCTGTAAGCCTTGACCAAAGGATTTTAAGAGTTCTCTTTGTCCATGTAGGAGTGGCAGGGGGTTTACTATGCCAGACGGAAATCCGGGGACAGCATCCAACAGCACGTGAAGATCACCCCAGTGATTGGCCAAGGAGGGTGAGAGCAAACTCTTCAACTCTTTAAGCTGAAAATGAAACCTCAGGGCCCTCGGGGGCATTGGGTGTGTGTGTTGAAATGCCAGCATAAGCCTCAGATGCACAAATTCAAGAGGGTCGTGCTGAACATGGTATCGTGGTATAAACCAAGGGCGCCTCACCTGGCCAGCAACCCCCAGACGGGTTTCTCTCTGCTCTCTTCTCCTGCCTGTGGTCTTTTATGAAACATCGCCTCAGTTTCCAAACTGCCTGCTCTACCCGATCGTGCACGGTTCCATTGTTCCCAGGACCCTCTGAAAGCACTCGATTTCTAGGCTGTCCTGCTGCCTTGACAACAAATGCTCTCCAGCCGGGGCTGCCCAGGTCACCCCTCAGGCCACGGGGAGCCAACCCTTCCTCCTCCTTGAGGCTGGGCTTGCTCTGGTTCTCTCCAGGCCGGGCGCTGTCGCACTAAACCTGAGATTACCAGAGAAGCCTGTTTATTTTGTGGAGAGGTAGGGAAACATACAATTCCTTTTCCTTCTCCCAGTTACATTCTGTGAGAGGTGTACACGGCCAAACAGGATCCCCTAACAATACGGCACTCATGAGCCTTTGGAAACTAGCCTGAAGGTCAACACTAGTTTCATAGTTTGAATTTATAAGGGACATAACATTGCACGACCTTTTAGAAAAAGGTAAGACAACAGTTATCCTGCCGGTAACCAGAACAGAAGAGCCTTAGGACTACCTGCTTTCCTAAAACCCGACAGCCATCAAGTCGGCAATGTATTTTGTAGGTTGTCTCCCCTCCAATTTGACTCGTTTGGTTAGTTTCAAAATTGCTCTCCTCTGCATGGTATTTCATGCCATTTTGTAGCATGTGCTCCCCTTTCTGCATCCCTCTGGGTGGTGGGGGGCTGACGGGCCCCTGGCCGAGGGTGGCGAGCCCCAGCCCTCCTCCTGAGCGGTACTGGCCTCAGCACGCCATCCCCGCCAGCGGGCAGTGCTCAGAGCCATGGGATGGAGATCATGCCCACGGCTGTCGTGGTGTTTCTGTCATCATCCTTAGACCATCTTCTCAGGAAACCGAAGCTAAGAATCACTTTGGGTATCTGTGACCAGAGTCATTAGACAGCCAAAGCAGAGAAGACAGGCTATTGCCTGGTAATTGTCATCAGAATACATTTTTATGATCTTTCTGATTTACAGATAAGAGAAAGTTCTTTTGTCCAGACACCATTTCCAGTGCTATTTTCCCCCTAATTATAGGCAGTGAGCTATCAGAGGCCATTCTTACTAAAAGCAGGGAAATTTTACCTCTCCCTCTTTGAGCGAAGCTCACTACAGAATAACCAGTATTTTTTATCCTCTTTTAAGAGTCCTCCAGAGAAAAGTGATTCAGAGAGAGAGAGAGAGGTGGGGGGTGGGGGACACCCCAAGGGCTTCCAGGGCGTAAAGTCTAACATAACTCTCTGGATTTCATGGCTTTGCTCTCAGTAAAAATTATACCTTGAGCCAATTTTTGCACAGGGCTGGAGGCACCTGTAGTGTTTAAATAAAAGGATTTTTCTCTGCCTGCAAATGCCATCATTATGACAATTATGGTTTAAAAGAATATGGAATATTTACTATCAAAATAACAACCATTGAAATGCGGTCATTGCCCAAATGAGTCTCTTGCTTTTTATATAAGCTATAAAATGATTAGTGCCAGCAGAATTAGAACTAATTTGTTTGTAGTAGCATTTTGTCCTATCACCGAGGGTATTGTAGGAGCCAGACTTCAGGAGTGAGTTGTGAAACGAAATACCCGACAGGACAGTGTTTCCGAGCCAGCTGTGATTAAAAGGGGGCCCCCGTTCTGAAGGCACATGTGGGCTCTGTGTGCAAAGTATGCTTTCTGTAAATCAGGTTTTGCTTGAATTTTAAATCTGCCCTAGAATGGACCCTGGAGTGTTGCTTTAAGAAGAGTCTGCTGATGCTTTCATTTGCTAATTTGTTGAATCATCTCATATCTGACTCACTAATAACTGATTATTTATGTTATTAGGAAAATTAGGCATTTTGTCTCTCTCAAGAAGCTGTGCTGCACCACTGACAATAATAAACAGGTACAGTACTCAGCTTCCTCCGTCCGCTCTGTCAGCCTGGCCACACCTCACGCTGCTCCCTGCGGCCTTGCCGCTGCTCTCTGCTTGCTTTTGTCCCTGTCAAATTGTGGTTGCCAATGAAGAGGTTTATGGGAAAATTAGGCTCCTCTGACAAATATTTTTTAAATTTCCCTGCAAGCCTATATTACTTTATTAGCAGTGCACATCAGCTATGATTTAGCTGTGTCTGAACAACTCTCTAGACTCGGATATTTTATGAGAGCATAAAATTCTTCCTTCAAACAAAAATGTTCTATTTCCCATCTCCATTTCTTAAATGAGACGTATATATCCATTTAAGCATTTCACCCTCACAAATTCATATCAAGAGCAAGAATCATTCTAAATTAGTCCTGTGATATTTTTTCTTACCATTGCATCATATAGAACAATACATTTAAATGTTTCTTCTGAAGTAACAGAATTGTAATAAGTTGCTATATTCAAGAACATTTTAAATAGTTTCATAATAGAGCATTGGTATATGTATTTTTTTCTATCTGATTTATACTTTACTACTGGATTATGTGTATTTTTACTTCATGCTCTGTAACTTGTTGGTTAAAAGGTATGCAATAAACATAATTACCAATGGTCTATTTTTGAAAACTTTCAAAATATGACCTTTGATTCAGATGAAGATTTTAAAGAAGGGACAGTGTTTCTAAGGGATTTCAAGGGCTTCTGGGGCATAATCCATTTTAGCAGAGGGTGGCAGAGACTCGTGAGGTGCCAGGCGAGGAGAGACCAGGCGAGCCCACGGGACAGGTGACGGGTGGGGGTGGGCAGAAGGCAGCGGGGTGAATCCAGCGAGCCCACCAGGCCCTTTCTGTTGGTTGTCTCAGGACGTTGAAGGGATCCATGTCCATGGGCTTTTTCATAAGATTTGGTTTAACATAAAATGCTTTCTTCAGCACTGAGAATTTCATCTGAAATCAGGAAATTTTCAGTTGATTCCACAGAGTCTCGCAAGAGGCAGGTCTTTGGAGGCCTCTAGGAAGGGAAAGAATGGACTTTCATAGGAAAAAAATTCTTCAGCAGCCACGTTGAAACATAGCAGGAGGAAGCCTGAGTTCTGTGTGAGTGGTGACACGGGCGGAGGGAGAGGGCAGGGAAACCTGGTGTCTCTAGAGACAAGTGTCTGAACCCAAGCAGTGCGAACCGGAATTTCTGGGCTGTGACCCACAGTAGAGGGCACAGGTCCATGTGGCTGGTTCATTCTCATGCCAGAAATCAACCGAGTACAGTTCACATCCAGAATCAAGCGCACAGCCCCACCCCCAGCGCCTCGCTCCTCCTCCCTACTTGCTGACTAAATGAAGGGGACCCCAATCTCCTTGTCACCTGTCTCCTTGCACCCCCACGTGCCCAAATCCTACCCTTCCTCCATGGCCCAGCCCAAGAAGCACTAGTGTCACCTCTTTGCTCAAGGCTCCAAACCCCCACCGTTGTCACGGCTGTGTGTGTGCTACACTGCCCTCTCTTTGCTGGCAGGGCCACTGGCCGTGCCCTTCTTTGTGTGCCCAGATGCCTGGTGCATAGTAGGGCCTTGAGCTGTTGGCTGGCTTGAAAGAAGTCGAATGTCTCAGTCCTGGCCTCCTGCCAGCTGTAGCTCTTCCTGCGTCATGGGGAGAGCAGGCAGGCCCTCAGCACAGGACTTGAGGATGCAGGAGCGAGGGGCTGCTTCTTTCTGAGGCTCTGAATAGAAATGCCTGCAGTGCCATGAATTCGCTGCTGCTCTGAGAAGAGCAGAGACGCAGAGCTCGGGTACCCTGAGCCATTGACGTCACCTAATGATGCCGCACAGGCCTAGAGAGGCACTTAGATTTTCCAATAACAAAGCATTTTATACTCTGGCTAGCTCCAGTGTTTTTCCTTCTCGTGGAAGGTGGCTGAAGCAAACTGCAGTGGGATCCTGTCTGCAGGCGGTTTCGGTGGTGCTGCTTTCAGGGGTTTAGCCCTGGTGTCAAAATCGGTCCATGGGTTTGCATTTTAACAAGGAATGAAATTGTAAGCCAGGCTGCTGTCTCCCAGTAGTGCTTGTCATCAGCTATGGTCTCTTTTCCTATGTGAGCCATATAGCTTTTTACAGAGACTCTGGAAATGCTCAGTGGGGTTTGTCTGCTGTAAGTGTTGTCTCCGCCTGCACCACTTACGTGCTTTCTCCCCAGATGTGTGTTAAACACCTGCTCTGTGCTGCCACCAGGGACACGACATATCTGCCCCAGAAGCCGTGGGGGCCGCAGCCCAGCACACAGTATACACAGAAGGTAGCTCCGGGGAAGCGGGAACCGGGCACAGGAGAAGCACAAAACCCAGGACTCAGGGAGGCTGTCTAGGAATTTTTCAGGTGTCATCTAGGACAGAGGGCAACAAACGACAGCCTATAGGCCAACTTTGCGAATAGGTTTTATTGAAACCCAGCCACGCTCTGGCGTGTGTAGCACCTGTGGCTGCTTTCACACGACTGCGGCAGAAGCCAGGTGGCCTGCAAAGCCCAAATATTTACCATCTGGCCCTGTACAGAAAAAGTTTGCCAGCCCTGTTTCTCGAAGATAATCTTCTTTTTTGGATGTCCCCCTTTCTTAGATCAGCAACAGCCTGGCCAGACCCCCAGAAGCACCCCCATGTCCCCACAGCACACACAGCCCCTGGGCCCCCTTTGCTCTCATGCCAGCCCCCACGTCCTGTCTCAAAGCCTGTCCCCACCGCCTCGTACTGGCGCAGACATGAGCACCTAGGGGCCCTGAGGCTTTTGCCATTTCCCAAGGTCAAAACCCAAATCCAAATACACGACTTGAACTGTGGAATTTCAGGGATCTGCAACCATGGTCCAAGAATTGGCTTTTCACAGGGAAAAGGAAGTGTTTAGGACCCTGACCTTACATCAGCTCTTGTTCTTTTCCCTTTCTAATGTGGCTACTAGAAAATTTTAAATTACGTAGGTTCGCATGTGTGGCTCGCACAGTGTTTTTACTGGATGGCGCAGTCTGTACTCCCCCTGCCGCCGAATCCTATCACACATTCTCCTCATCTGCCCCATCGTAGATGGTAGAGGATGCTGATGAGCTGGGCACGTCATCCAGCTTCTGCCAACGAGTCCAGACTCTCTGAGCCTCCAGGGAATGATGCTGTAACCCATTCCCCAGGCACCTAGAACAACCTTTACCTTTAGGGAAGGACTTTCAGGTGGGCGCTTAAGCCAACTTTTAGGGAATGTCCTCGGGGAGATGTGGGGCACCTTTTGGTCATTCTCAAACTGCTGCAGAAAGTGAGCTCTTGCCTTCTGGAGCTCTTGAGTGGACAGTGGGGAGCACCAGCACCGTGCCCTGCGGCACCTACTCAGGCAGGGGGACGTCACAGTCCTCAGAAAACTGAGCAGAAGCGGGGTGCTCGGCCAGAGAGTTCGAGTGGGCAGTTAGACACAGCCCCATTTCTGCGTTGCCTGGGCAGCGGAGTGGGGAAGGCTTCTTCTCAAAGACACCACACATTTTAGAAACCCTTTAGCCATGGATCGAGATGGCTGGTTAAAAGAGATAGCCAGCCTCCCCTAACCAGAATGACCTCTTCTCCTTTTGTGGGAACAGAGCAAAGCCACCAGTTGACAGCTGGTAGGATTTTCCTCCTGGACACAGCCTGGCATCACCAGCGTGTGGGAGGAGCAGGCTGCCCCACGGTTCTCACCAAGCTCCCAGGCTTCTCCCCCAGCCACGCAGGTCCTGGAACGTGGCCCCCTGTGGGCACGTGTGCAGTCTGAGTGTGGCTGACAGGCCACACCACCAAGCATCCCTGGTCGATTCCCGTCCTTTCCAGCGGGACTGTGCTCACTGATAGCTGCAACCGAGAGGACCCAAGGACCCTGCGGTTGTCTGTGCTCAGTGCTCCAGGAGTCAGCGTCTCATTGTCTCTCCTTCCTCCTTCCCTCTTTGCCTTCTCTCATTTACCCAGAGTCTACCTCCGGTCACCTCCTGTGGGCCTCCAGATGGTCGATGCATTTTCCCACCCAGTCCTCACACCTGCGTGGACCATGCTCACGGCGGGTCTTTGCCCACTCCCCTTGTGGCCTATTCCACTTCCTCCCCTACACTCGGCATGTCCTCAGCCCTCACAGCCTTGCCTCTCCCCATGGGTGCCAAGTTCTGTCCCCCACTCCTCTCCTTTGTCCTCCAGCTTGTGGCAAAACAGGGTCCTAACACCAAGAGCGTCCATTATCTCCTGGCATTCTCAGCAAAACCAAGAGAAGAGAGTGGCTGGTGCAGGGAATGAGGAGAGAGAGGCACAGAGAATCACTTGCTGGTTTCTGCTCATTGCTGAGTGATAAAATCAAGTTTTCAATTTGCCCTAAATTCCCAGTATTTAATCTGTTACATGCTTTTAAAGGATATGGGACCTTTGCTGCTGCTTTGTCCTTTAGGACTCAACTCAGTTCTCCTTCCTCTAAGAAATCTGCCAAATCTGCCACCCCAACGAGGTGACAGTGACACTTCTTACCTGTATCACCCAGGATTAGACCGTTAATCTTACTCTGCTTTGGATCAGTTCTTGCCTCGGTGCAGGGACTGTGGATGATGCCTCTGTGTACTCCCCACTGTGTATGCCCAGGAGATTTCAGCAAATTATTTTGAAAACCAATTTTTATTCCTTAACACAATAACCTTTGGAAGGCATAGGAAGTTAAAGATACAGTTTCTGTCTTGTCCCAAATTTTTATTTCATGTAGAGTTTTGATCTATAGGTAGCCAATATATGTCCTGCATGGTATTACAAAGAATATTTGTCACACTCTTCCAAGGCACACATTCGAGTGTGACTTCTTTTGAAGAAGTGGAGAAAAAGCCTATTCCAACTGAAAACGTAACCTCAGTTTTCTCTGAAAGTGGCTAGTCAAATTTAGAAATGTATTTTATTTACTTGGTTTATTACCGTGATACAGAGTGTGCACAGATGTATCATCATCACAG